AAGCAAATCTACCTCCAAGAATATAGAGTCAAGCAAAGCAAGCTGCTCAGTGACAGACTCCCAGACGTGGCAGCCGCCGCACTGTCCATTCAGAAGGTGCAAATGTGGGGTCTTTGGCGCGGGGGTGAGGTGGGGGCGGGGGATGAGGTGTCTTGACAGCCAGAGATGCATCCCAGGGTGGGAGATGGAACTTCAAAACTCAAAATTTAAAATTTTACCTTTAGTACAACTGTATTAAATTCCTGAAGGACTCATTAACTCACCTTGGGGAACCTAGTAGCTAAGCTTGTTCTTATTTCAGATTTTTATTATAAATTGGTATTAAACTCAAGTCTTTTTTTTTTTTTATTGTGGCGAAACTATTCACACCAAACCATTCACCAATACAACAACTTCCTCATTTACAAGTCAATGGCACTGAGTACACTTTTTGTGTTGTGCCCCTGGCTTAGTCATCTAGTGCTGCTATAACGGAAATACCACAAGTGGGTGGCTTTAACAAACAGAAATTTATTCTCTCATAGGCTAGGGGGCTAGAAGTCCAAACTGAGGGTGCCAGCTCCAAGGGAAGGCTTTCTGTCTCTGTTGGCTCTGGGAGAAGGTCCTTGTCATCTATCTTCCTCTGGTTTAGGAGCTTCTCGGTGCAGGGACCTCGGGTCCAAAGGACCTACTCTGTTCCCAGCATTTCTTTCTTGGTGGCATGAGGTCCCTCTCCTCTCTGTTTGCTTCTGTCTTTTGTATCTCAGAAGAGATTGACTCAAGATACAACCTAATCCTGTAGATTGAGTGCTGCCTCATTAACATAACTGCCTCTAATCCTTCCTCATTAACATCACAGAGGCGGGATTCACAACACATAGGATAATCATGTCAGATCACAAAATGGTGGAGGACCCCATAACACTGAGAATCATGGCCTAGCCAAGGTAACGCACATTTTTGGGGGACACAATTCAATCTGTAACAGCCACCATTGTTGCTATCCTTCTCCAAGATATTCCAACACAACATAAACTCAATGGCCTCAAAACAAATCTAGGCCTTTTATTCAATTATTTTAATAGATGGTGGACAATTGCTGGAAAGATTGTTGCTAAAATTCAATAAGGATGTCAATCCTTAAGGAATTGAAAAATACATTGACATAGAGACATGTAATTACAGAAGGAAGACAAGGGCTATCACCCGCTAGGTTGCAGAAATGTAGACCATTTTAGAAAATTCCAGTGACGGTCAATAATAGCTGGTCATCGATGTTCTTTTCAGAAGTGGGCCATAAAGTTTCTTTTATTTTGTCAAATGGGACGCATTTATTTGTACCCCATCTTTTTTTCAAATAAAGGTACCTTGGTGATGCAAACGGTTTGCGCTTGGCCCCTAACCTAAAAGGTTGGCAGTTCAAACCCACCCAGTGGCACCGTGGAAGAAAGGCCTTGGGATCTGCTTCTGTTAAGATTACAGGCAAGAAAACCCTATGGAACGGTTCTACTCTGTAACACACAGGGTCGCCATGAGTCAGAACCAACGCCACGGCAATGAGTTTGATATTTTGGCCTTTTTTTCAGCATATGATTGTTTACAGAAAAGTGCAAAGCATGGCAACGTGACACAGATTAGAACTAGGTTAGAGAGAAAATAAGCCTAAGGACATTAAGTGTTGTTGTTAGGGGCCACCGAGTCGGTTCTGACTCAGCGACGCCGCGTACAACAGAACAAAACTCTGCCCCGCTCTGCCCCATCCTCACAATCCTTGTTATGCTTGAGCCCATTGTTGCAGCCACTGTGTCAATCCATCTTCTTGTGGTTCTTCGTCTTTTTCGCTGACCCTCTACTTTACCAAGCATGATGTCCTTCTCCAGGGACTGATCCCTACTGATAACATGTCCAAAGTATGTAAGATGTAGTCTCACCGTCCTTGCTTCTAAGGAGCATTCTGGTTGTACTTCTTCCAAGACAGATGCCCATTATTTTGGCAGTCCACCGTATATTCAGTATCTGTCACCAACACCACAATTCAAAGGCGTCGATTCTTCTTCAGTCTTCCTTATTCATCGTCCAGCCTTTGCATTAAATAGAGCCTGACAGTCTGGATTCTTGTCCCTGTTGTTGTTGTTAGTTGCTGTCAGTCAGTTCTGACTCATAGTGACCCCATGCGTGCAGAGTGGGACTGTTCCATAGGATTTTCAAGGCTAAGACCTTTCAAAAGTAGATCGCCAGGCCTGTCTTCCAAGGCGCCTCTGGGTGGGTTCCAATTGCCAACCTTTAGGCTAGTAGTTGAGCACTGAACTGTTTGCACCACCCAGGGACTCCATTCCTGTAGCTAACTGTGTTTGAATGGGAGTAAGAGAGGGCTTGGGGAAGTTTTACATATGGGGCAAATCAGAGATTGTTTTCTTTCAAGTTCCTGGGGGAGATTAGAAGGGTTTTGAGAGAGCACCTTAGTTCAAGACTTGAGGTGTACAATTCTTGAAAGTCACTCTGTTAGGCTTCTTCACACTACTTTGGGAATTCTTCTTTTAAAACAATGAAGCACCACCCTTCAATCGAGCCCCACTCCCCGCAATCCAAGAGTTTCTCTAGAGGAAGCCTGGGCAGGGAGTCACATGAACAAGAATTGTGGGTCATTTCTGTGATTAGTTCTTCCCTTAAAAGTTTTGCTTGTAATCACAGAAGAAAAACTATTCCATCCATACACGCACACTCCATCCTGACTTTATGGTCGTTTTTAACATTTGGAATGTGCCACGTAAGTGGGAGAAGCCGTAAGACCACGTTTTCTGTACTGGTTTCTGTATTAAGCAAGTGACCCTTTATTTGCTTTAAGGTGTGGAGAGCCTTCCATCAGAGTAAGAAAACAGGAAAAGAGCGAGGAGAAGAGATGATCTTCCTGGGTATGGTAAGTTTTCTCATAGATGGGTATGCATCTGGTTTTAGAGGAAACAGAATCTCTAAGACTCGTGGATGTCTTTAGAGAGTGTTTGAGGGAAGAAATGAAAGCACAGTCAGTGACCAGTGACACAGGAGAGTGGAGTCCTCTGGGTCGCAC